CGTGGTCTGGGTAGTAGGTCGTAGGCTGATAGTAGATCGGTCGTCAGAGGCTAAGGTGATCAGTCTTAGGCTCAACAAGTAATTCGCAGTGAAGGTAAGCTGAGAGTATCCGTGAGGATGAATACTAAGTTGATTGCTGAAGAGCTATGGAAGTCTGACCATGAGCCAGGCTCAGGTCATACTATATACAAGTTCTGCACAGTATCTCCTGTGGTGGCTATGTAGGATATCCGTGCTACAGTAAAAGGCGTAATGGGCTTCGCGGAATTTCCTAGACAACATCTTTTATAGTGGTGGTGTGGGGCAGTGGCCTGTGTGGCTTAGCAGCTCACTCTCGTAGCCGGCAAGTATTCACTGCGTAACCGTTAACAGCGCCAGAAATAGCTAGAGCTGGAATTGGACGCAGAAAATAATGATTACAGCCAGAAACGGCTTACTTGTTGACTGCAGGTTCATTGGGTGACCAAGAATCGCTGGACGCCCTTCTCTTCTGCCAGGCTTGAGTCCCATCGCTCTTCCTTCTCTCTCCTCAATCGAAGATGGCGCCGGTTCGGTATCAGCTGTCATCATGGCGCCGCAGCTGAATGTCGCACAGCGGTTCCTAATCAAGGCTCTGCTAATGCAAGGATTTGACAACAGGCTGATTGCCTCAAAAGCCTCATGCTCCGTACGGAGCGTTCAGAACATGCGCCTCGAGAAAGACGATCCGCTGCATCCCACAACAACGGGCTGACAGCCTGATCTCAGTCTTGGGAGCGGAGGCAATCCATCTCACACCGACCCCGCTTCTGCTCAATCGTGAGTGGCAGGCGTTCCGCATCCTCTTCCACTTGGCACCGCCAACGCGCCAATAACAACATCGCCATGCCCTGCACCAACAAGCCGTCGCTGCACTGCTGCAGGCATACATATCATGGGATGTCTCAATTGGTTCTTCCAAGAAGCATGGTCAGCATACTCTTCGCCATTCAATCAGTGTAGCACCCCCGAGCGCCCCAGTCCTATCTAGCTGACTGCTACCAGCCTGATCTTGGGTCCAACAAATAGATAAGGACACCCGCTATTCACGTCTTGCCAACTTATTTTGACGTCTTTCCTTTCCCATCTCGATTCCCTCTCATTAGTTTCGCATAAGCACTTGCTCATCTTAATACATCATACGAGCAAATACTAGCTATGGCTGATTCTAAAGCCTACACCGTCGGCTGGATCTGCGCCCTTCCCACCGAGTTCGACGCGGCACAAGCCTTCCTCGACGAAGAACACGATGAATGCCCCCCAGTCGCCCAAAACGACAATAATAACTATGCCCTTGGCAAGATTGGGAGGCATAATGTCGTTATTGCTGTCTTACCGGATGGGGAGTACGGTACAAATGCTGCTGGGACTGTGGCTCGAGATATGCTGCACAGCTTTCCGAATGTGCGCATCGGACTCATGGTCGGCATCGGCGGTGGCGCACCCAGCTCAAGGTATGATGTGCGACTTGGTGATGTTGTTGTTAGCAGTCGCAATGGGGGCAAAGGTGGCGTCTTCCAGTACGACTTTGGCAAGGCAGTGCAGAACCAGGATATCTCCTTTGAGCATACAGACTTCTTGGACCAGCCACCCACGCTGCTACGAACAGCCGTTAGCGCGCTCAAGAGTCGATACAAGAGGAAAGGCCATCAGCTGAATACCGCAATCGATGAGGCATTGGAACGATGGCCTCGACTGCGTGGGGAATACTCACGACCTCCTCTAGCGAGCGACAGACTCTACCGATCTGACATCACCCATCCACACTCGTCAGAAGGATGCGTCCGGGTGTGTAGTGATGATTCAACTCATATAGTACCCCGGGCCAAACGAGGTGAACACACCGACGACCCTGCGATTCACTACGGGTTGATTGCCAGCGCGAACCAGCTCATGAAGAACGCTACGCTCCGGGACAAATTGGCCGCTGAACATGGCGTTGTCTGCTTCGAGATGGAAGCCGCTGGTCTCATGAATCACTTCCCCTGTATGGTTATACGGGGAATCTGCGACTACTCCGACTCACATAAAAATAAGGAGTGGCAAGGCTTCGCGGCTATGATGGCAGCAGCGTATGCCAGAGATCTTTTGCACCAGATTGCGCCAACCAGTATTGAAGCTGAAAAGCCAATTAGCGAAGTACTTGGTTCCAGTTAGTATTACGAGTCCAGTCTATTTCATGTAGTCTAATTTATAGTAGTTCAACGTCGTCTTTCCGACCTGAAAGAGAGACTACAGGATCTCAAGCTTGACAAGGCTGAGGATCTCTCTGTTGCCCGCAGTCCTCATTTCGTCGTACCGTTTCCTTCCGATCCCGACTTTGTGAACCGGTCCGGCATCTGGACATGGATTGAAGAGCGGCATGCTGGACCTGAGAGCCGCTTCGCTCTCGTGGGTATGGGCGGGTTTGGGTATGTCACGCTAGCTGTTGAAGGGTCTGCATTAACAAAAGCGGCAGCAAATCCCAAATGGCCATCCAATTCGCTCACCGACTACACGCCAATTCACCCAAAACCAGCGTCTTCTGGGTCCATGGCAGCACGAAAGCAACGTTCGAAGAGTCCTACCGCTCCATAGCAGACGTCCTGGCGCTTCCTCGTCACCACGACCCTGATGTCGATGTCCTAGTGCTGGTCCGCGACTGGCTACAGCGAGAGGACGTGAGCCCGTGGCTTATGATTATCGACAATGCGGATGACATTCAGATGTTGTTCTCCAAGCGTAATGGCGAAAAGCCAATAACGTCTTATCTACCAAAGAGAGAAAACAGCAAGATCCTGATTACATCGCGCAATTCAGACGCCGCAGAGAGGTTAACAGGAAACGTCAAGATGATCTACACAGTCCCAACCATGGAGAACGAACAGGCTCTTCAGCTTCTACAAAAGAAACTGGGCCAGGACGTCAACAAAGCTGCCGCATTACGGCTGAGCCGCACCCTTGAGTGCATTCCTCTCGCCGTAAACCAGGCAGCAGCGTATATCAACAAACGAAGTCCCCGGGTGACCGTTAAGTCATACTTAGACGAATTTCAGAAGAGTGAAAACAGAAAGGGCACTCTTCTTCGCAGCGATAGAGGGGATATCCGTCGATATGATGGGGTGTCCAATTCCGTCGTAGTAACGTGGCAGGTAACGTTTGAGCAGATCAAACGAGAGCAGCCGCGGGCGGCGAACCTTCTATCACTGATGAGCTATTTCCACGCTCAAAATATCCCTGAGTATATGTTGCACGACTATAACAGCGGCTACATAGATTCTGAAGAGGGCAGTGATGAGCACGGGGAAACCAGCGATGTCGACTTTGAGGATGACTTGGATGTGCTGCGGGGCTACTCACTCGCTACCATGACAGCTACGCCGGGTCTCTTAGAAATGCACTCGCTAGTGCAATTTTGCACCAAAGTTTGGATCTCAGAATTTGGTTCTCCTGACCGATGGAAGACGCTATTTCTTCAATCAGCGTCGGAACACTTCCCATCGGGCGTATTTGAAACGTGGCAGCAGTGCCAAACGCTGATGCCCCACATACAGCCCTTATTAGATGAAGAACCGTCAGAAGAACGCAACCGGCTGGAATGGGGCAAGTTACTAACAAATGTGTCTTGGTACTTGGTAATGCTTGGCAACTATTCTAAGGCGGAGGTGATAGTTCAACAGGCTGTAAGCACGCGGGCGGAGATTCTAGGTCAGGAGCATCCCTCAACGCTGACGAGCATGGCCAACCTGGCGTCGACGTACAGGAACCAAGGCCGATGGAGGGAGGCTGAGGAGCTGTTGGTGCGGATGATGGAGACGAGTTTGAGGGTGCTTGGAGCGAAGCATCCCTCCACGCTGACGAGCATGCATAATCTTGCCTTCACTTGGAAAAATCTGAAACGATGGGAAGATGCGATACAACTGCTACAAGACTGTGTTCGCCGGAGAGAGAACGTCCTTGGTGTGGACCATCATGACACCATGTCTTCCGCATCAGCCCTTTCGGACTGGAAACTAGAGTTTGGGGGAAGCAGTTATGAGTTTCCACGATCCCCTCAAACATTGGATGCTTGTACATAGACATAGAGACCTATAATGAATTTGGTGCTGTTTTACAGCTGCAGATATGTCGCCACACACTTCAGTTGAATGCGCCCAGCAGCATTCGCTGCGCCGCTGTAAGTCGTATGGAATGTCATTCTGATAGGCGAACGTATTTGACTGTTCATCCCATTGATATAGGTTAGACTGGCTGGATGGGTCCCTAATAGCTGAATGGTAAGCCGTTTCTGACTCTGTCCTCTTACTATTGTTCCACTTGCTGCCTTTCCCTTACTAATGTCCAATTCTGGCTGTGTTCATTTCTGGCTCTGTTAACGCCTCCGCTGTGAGTACTTGCCGGCTACGAGGGTGAGCTGCTAAGCCACACAAGCTGCGGCCCCACACCACCGCTATAAAATATATTGTGTATGAAATTCCGCGAAACCCATTACGCCTTTTACTGTAATTCAAATGCTTTCCATTGTAGCTAGGAGAGGGGAATCTTTAGTCAAGAAAATTTGGAAAAGCCAGTCCATCCATCTGAAACTCCGTCATCAATGTGCTCCAATCCGGAAAGTCCTGCATGACGGTATTCCAATCCATCCCATCAACTCCATTCATCCCATTCATCCCGTCCAACACCCCCTCCGCGCCTTCAACCTCTGACCTCTCATCAGTCGCCCCGGGAGTGGGATAGGCCTCCTTTTCCTTCTCCTTCTCTCCACCACTAGCAATACCCTGGCGAATCGCCAAAGCCTTCTCTCTCAACGCCTCGAGCACAGTCATCTTCGCAGCCGGGCCCGATCCAGTGCCGACATTCCTCACATGATCCATTGAGTACTCCAACGCCTTCCACGCCCTCTCCACATTCGGCCCTTCGGGCTTCACGCACAGATGCCACAGGACATATAGAATCATGTGGTACTGCGGATACGCCCTCATGCTCCAGCGATACGGCCTCAGCAACTCATCCGACGCGAGGCTCATCCCATCTTCCAGGATACCCAACGCCTGCAATAGATTCTCCTCCGTGGCAAACGACTCCCTCGCCTCGGGGTGCTCCAAATTCAGCCACTGCTGCCTCGTCACCAAGTCAACCTTTCGAATAATGAACCTCGCCACAAGCAAGCACTGCCTCTGGTGCGGGATCACAGGGTTACAGTGCCTCAAGAACCCCTCCGCATAGTCCCTCAGCTCATCCACAATCTGCGTCCGCACCGACTCCGGGACGGGCTTCTCCTTCCACTCGGACGCAATCGCCGCCAGGCGGTGCCACGCGCGCGAGATCTGGATGTTGATCAGCGCCAGCGTGATTGGCGTCCAGCCAGGCCTCGGCGGCGGGAGCTCCTTCATCTCGGGGTACAGGTCGTTGTCGTCGAGGTTGGAGGGGTAGTTGACGCCGACACTGAGGTTGAAGCAGGTCGGGTTCTGGATGCCGTAGTCCTCCGACGCCCTGCCGTCGCGGGCGACGAGATGCCACCACAGCCGCCGGCGGATCTCGCATTCGAAGACGGAGAGGCCGAGGCGCGTGCCGTCGCGGTGCAGGCCGATGGACTGCGCGGCTCGGATGGCGAGACCGTTGAGAGTCCATAGGCCGCGGCCTGGGTTGTGTATCCGAAGGGCTGCCTAGAGAGTATCATCTTAGCTAGGACGAGAATGGGTGTGATGCGAAAGGCTACTCACCAGGTAGATAGACAAAGCCTCCAGAAGCCTGACAGAGGGATGCTCCAGAAAGTCGGCCTTGGCGAATGCTTGCTCTAGACCCGTCTTGTATCGGTGAAGGGCTGTCACTTTATCCTCTCCGGTGATCTTCTGGATCGTACTTGGGTCAAGCACGACGGTGGAGACGAAGAAGACGGAGAACATGAGGGCCAGAGCCTCGAGGGAAGCATTGGCGGGGTCGTCTATCGCCGTGTAGATCAACACTTCCGCCGTCGGTCTGTGTATGATTTTGTTACACAGCTCAATGTTCTCGGCGTAGTTCTTCCACAGCTCAATCGCACCCCACTTGGGTGGGAGCAGCTCTGTTAGATCTAGTTTGAGATCTGGACTTGACAAGATGCCCATGGGGTTGAATGGTGATGGCGCCGCCTGCGGAGCTGGGTCGCTCCCTGGCGTCGTTAATACTGACTGGATTTCATGTTCCTTCAAGTCACCTCGTCAGTCGCGCGTTCATCAGACAGGAACAAGCATACTGCACGTCATCTTACCTCCTCAATGACCCGTGAGATGAGCACCTCATCAAAGTACTGACTCTGCGTCCCCTTCCTCACCAAAATCTCGTCACCGGGGCTCTTCGCATGAGACCCAGATGAAGGCGCCGTAGCCGGCCTGTCATAGACAGATCTCCCCGTATCCCACCCCGACGAGACACCACCCAGCCCCGGGGTATCTGCCGCCGACGACGACGCGACCGGCGGCGACCTGACCCGGAGCTGGTCCCGCCCCACCCCCGCCGTGAGCGTCTTCTCCAGGTCCGAGATCCGGCTGGCCACGTCCGCGATGGTCGTCTTTCGGACCCGGCGGATCGGCTGGCCGGCCTGCGGATAAAAGCACGGGAACCCGCCGCGCGCACACGACGAGCATGGCGACTTCTTGTCGCAGCGGATCTTGCGCCGGTGGCACAGGTTACACGAGCGCTCTATCTTTCGGCCGCTGCCTCCCCCGATGCCGCTGCCGCTGGCAGCGGTGTGTGATTGGCCTGGCGGGCGCGGCGTCTCGGAGCCCTCCGCGGGCGAGAGTCGCGGGGCCGTCGGGGTGGAGGAGGAATCCGGGCCCATGGCGTTGGAACCGATGGTGGTGGACAGGGCCGGATCAGACATGGCCGTTGCTTCCCACACCACAGAATGTGAATTTGAATCCGTCTTGGCTCTGCTGATAACACGCAGTACAGTCTGACTGACTGGGGGGCTTGAACAGATTACAGCAAATCGCCATCCGCCTCCAAGATGAGCGAGCTGACTGAGACTATGTCGATGACATTGCAGCCTCGGCCTCGGCGGCCATGGAAGCGCCGAGACCGAAGCCACTGCTCCACCCGAGTGGCTCGCGTATTTCGGATTTAAAGAGCGACGGGCGGCGACTGAATCAGTCGTGTGCGTCTGTGAGAGTGAGAGAGAGAGAATCCTTCCCCCTTGAAGGATAGGCCACCCCCCCTACGCCAAACATGTGCGCACGTCAGTCACACACAAGTCCAGTCCCCTGGGGCCCTGCGTGTGGGATTCATTCATCGTCCTCGTCAGCGCTTGAACGCCCGCTAGGACCTTTGGAATGGGCTCGGAGTACGCTCCGTCCGCAAGCGTCCGTCAACAAGCTTTCTCACAACCGCTTTAAGCTTCCCCGTGGTCCCCGAATGCGTCGAACACCCTGCCAACTTCCGCCTCCACGTGTCTGATGTCTCTGGTCTCTTTCTTGCTGACGGGCGGGAATCTGGACCCTTTCTTTCTTTCTTTCTTTCTGAGGGCTGCCTTGCCACCCGCTGGGTAACTAACTTGCACCAGCAGCAGGCAGTTTCCTCCGTACGGTGAGATCGTTCATGGCAACTCTCCCACCGGCCAATCTGCGAGATCCGTATATTTTATGCTTATGAATCCTATCTTTGGCAACGCTCAATCTGCAGAACACTTTACGATCAACCCGGTGGGATCTCGATACCGCCGCATCGACCTTCTCCGCGGGTCGAGACGCACCGTCGCGATGCGATGCCTCGGCACCACTTGCCCATCGTAGTCTGCTTTCACGATGCGAGGCATGGCTTGTCGACGAACCGCTGCTCTCGTGTAACGACGAATTTAAGGTTCATCTTTCCCAGGAACACCCAAAATGTCACGACGACGAAGGATGATTGTAATCAAATCTCCGAGAGACTGGCCGCGTCTCATCGCAAACATGGCGGGATCACCCCGACCAACTCAGTGCAATGACTTGCGGCCCCGCCCCAAATCGTCGATTCTTTTCCATCGCGACAAAGTCCCCTCTCCCCGACCATCCTTCTCCTCAACTCGACCGATGCCTTCCCGTGTGGCAGCGACCCCGACCATCGTTGAATGTCGCGCTGCCATCCAGGTCGTTAAGCGATGTATTATTGCATATTCAACTGCGACGTTATCACGTAAACCAGAGAAGTAAAATATGTTGCATCAACGACCCAAGTCCCTCCATCCGGATGCGAATATCTCCCTTTGGTAATGGGCCCCGAAAGAAGAAGCTCGGTGTTTTCCGATGCTGGTCGCTTGTCCAATGCCATCTCTACGAGGCTCTCGCAACTTCATAAGACGACGGCCAAACTAAGATTCAGCCTCTGGTGGATCCAGATCTCGCTCCCATCTCCGTTGCAAAAAGCATTTTCTTTGGGTGAACTTGTTACCGTCTATTAGCTAGTCCCGCGACCAGATGACAAGTCGTCAAAGGAAAAAGGTCCCTCCCTCATGTGAAGTGAAACGCAAACAGCGACTTCTGCCCAGCATGTGCCATGTGGTGCCATCCAATGCGGGACGAGTCGCCGTACCACACTTCTTCCTCGTACTCCAGTCCCCAGCCACCCGCTGAAGAAACATAACCTTTGCAGGGCCCAGTATGTCCCTATTAGGGAGTGTATGGTGGGAAGGGGGGTTCTGTTAAAACCACACACCCCGATCGGTAAAACCACAGGGTGGGTCCGCCACACTGCCAGTCAGCCAACCAGAGGCCTAGGATCACAACTTTACATAACTTTTAGTAATTAGATTTTTATTGCAGCAATTAACATAACTCAATAAGATTACTTATTTTTGCAATTTTAATTAAAAAGGTTAATAAGAGAAGGAATAACTATTAATCCACTTAGCGCTAGCTAACTAGGCAGCCCTCAGGCCACCCTTAGGGCTACCTACAACCTATTAGGTTATATTCTATAACTTATAGACTACTTACTACCTCTAGTATTATGCTAGAAGGCTTAGAAATTAATAGCATTCTCTATAATTTATTATCTAATGAGAGGTTAAGTAGCTACTACTTTATCCTTACTGCTAGCGCTATTAGCACTACTAGCGCTAGCTTTATTATTAATAATACCTCTAGATAGTTAAGTTAACTACTAACGTTATTATTACTACTGCTGCTATAGCTATAGCTATAGCTATAGGTGTGTATAGCCCTAGCCTCTAGGGTGCCTCTTAGCCTTATTAGCGTAGGCTGGCTGGATTTAAAGTAGGATAGGTTGTATATAGTAGATTAACTTTACTGGTTAGCTATACTAACTTTGTACTGTAACTAACTTATAGTACTTCTATGTAGGGCTTGCTAGCTTGTTTAGCGTAAGATTATATTAAGGTTAGGCTTATTTAGAGGGAACTTAGCTTGTAGCTAAAATAGCTATAGCTATTAGTCTCTATATAAACCTACTTATAAGTTAAACTTATATTATTTAGTATAAGCTACTAGTGAAGGTTAATATTACTCTCTATAGTTAGAGATCTTACTACCTAAATAAAGTAATATTAAGATCTTATGCTAATAAGGAAGGCTATACTGCTGTATAAATAAGCTTATATAATATAATAGATCTTTGCTAGCTTTACGTACTACCTTAGTAGCAAGGTACTAATAGTAAATAAGATCCTAGGTAGTAAACCCTACCTTACTATTAAGAGTAGCTATTATATCTTTTTAGTACTTATTAATCTACTTAATACTTTTAGTTTAAATACTATTCTAGTACTTCTAAAGTATTCAGTCCTTTATCTTATTAATCCTCTTATATAAAGTTAATATATTAATAAGTATTTAGTATAACCAACACTTAAGTAGAGTATATACCCCTTCTTTTTAAGATATAACTTTAATACTATAGTTATAGTAGTAGTAGATAGTATAGGTATAAAATTCCTCTTTAAATGAAAAATACATCTTATAGATGGACTTAATAATATGCTCTTAGTTAGAAAAAAAGTATTATAGTTAACCTGTCACGGGCTAGAGCCCGGATTGATATCTCCGGCTTCGCCAGAGCAGTTACCGAGATCCGGCTCCGTTGGACCCACTATTCTGCCGCAGTACGCCGCCTAACCCGGCCTGCTTCACCGCTGTTAGGCGCCTACCCTTGTAAAGTCCTTTCTTCCTTCTTCAGCTTAGAATAGTCAATCGACG